CATTATGAAGCCAATTAGCATTAACTTTTTAAGTTAAAGACTTGGGAAAAATTTCCCCATAATGAAATGCCACAATTAGATACATCAACATGATCAATTACTTTTCTATCAATAATCATGGCATTATTTATATTTTTCTAACTTAAAACCTCAACACATTTATTTTCCCCTAACCCCCAAATAACCTATTTAGTAAAACAAAAAAAAACTGCCTTGAGAGAAAAATGAACAAAAATTTATGTGACTCTTTCATTACATCACTTGGCAGGACACTGCATATATTTTTTTTTCTATCCCTTATTATGTAGGCTTGAACAAGTAACATTCTCCATGTTTTCTAAGTGACATTCTTGATGTTTTCTTTTTTTCCTCTTGACATACATAATGGAACTATGATTGGTGTTTAGTTGAAAATTCTCTTGAAAGTTTAAGTGAGGTTATTGATATAAAATGCCTACCACAATGTCAGGCACCCCTTCTCTGGAATTTAATGAGTTTTTCTTAGAAAAAGTGACTTTTTTGTAATCATAGTTTCTTGAAACCCATATGTGAATAATGCCTTGATATAAAATATAGATTTTATTTTTCACTCTTAACATTAATTTTGGTTATCCTCATAAGCACTTCAACACTGGATTTGAAATTTTTGGATAGCATAATTGTAAGGTATTCATTTATTATTGATACAGTAAGCATGCACATTTTGTCCTCAACAATAAGACTATAAAGAATGGTAAATGCAAACTGAAATGCATGATGGGAATATCGTGTGCTGATTAGCATTGTATAGGAAAATAAAATTCATTCCTGTGAATTAGTTGACCATCTTATTAAGGGTGTGCCATGTCTCACAAGGGAGGGTGCTGAGTACAGATCCATCACAGTCATTTATGCACAAATCTACTAAGTAGCCTGTAATTTCTTATCTTCCACATAAACAAGAGCTAAGAACTGAGAACACAAAGACTACATCACACACTCTGACCTCAAGAAACTAGATCTTCCAGTGGGAAAACATATGTAAATATAAACTGTTGGCATTACATGTGCTACACTGCAGCAATCAACACAAGGCTGGATCTGAATCTGACACTTGGATCAGGATGAGCAGGCGTCAGGAAAGGGCACAAGTGGGAGCTCATGACATGAAGACAGAGGTGGCAGGTGGTGATTTTTTTGGAAATGGAGAGAAGCAAAGTGCAAAACTCACATTAGGCTAAGGAACTTGAACATGAAAATTATAGTGACCGATTGGTACAGTGAGGGAATGACTTTGCAGGAGCAAGGAAAATATACCAGAGTATGAATGATACCAGAGTGATGATAATTGAGATAAAGAAATGATTCAGTACTGTGGGAAAACATAGCAGAAATGCTAAAGAGTGATAAAGAAAAGCAAAAAACCAATGAATGTAAGCTGATAGTAGAATATTCGGTACAGGAAGCCAAGGAAATATATTTCATTGGAAGTGGAGCATATCTTGTGATTTAGTGATGTTCACACTGTAAAACTGAGGTCAATATATTCTAGAATCAGGGCTGAGGAAAACAGCTCGGTGGAATAAGTGCTTTCCTGGCAAGTGCAAGGTCCTGAGTCCAATCCCTGGTACCACACACACACACACACACACACACACACACACACACACTATATATATATATATATATATATATATATATATATTCTAGAATCTAACTGTAGTTATAATACAGATATTAGGAATTTGATTTATTTTTAAATTAGCCTATAACTTAATGAGTTATTCTTAGAAAAATTGACTTTTGTAATCATAGTTTCTTGAAACCCATTTGTGAATAATGCCTTGATATACAATATGGGTTTATTTTTTACTCTTAACTTTACAAGAATGTACCTAAAGTGGAAAAACAGGTTGGTATATTTAAACATAGTTTCTCCAATACTTTAGTAAGAGTTGACCCATGATCGATTTGAATTTATATAGTTTTTACTCATAAATATACATGAAGATAATTCTCAAAGTTCCTATTGATTGCATTTATGAAAAATTTTCACTTTCTCAGAAACTTTTCCTCTAAGATTGCTGTCTGGAATCATTTCAGAGCTGCAAAGAGAAGCTTTGAGTTTGTAAAAGCAGTTTTTAAGCATAGTACATTGTTAAGTAATTAAAAATTACAATCTCAAAAAAATTGCAATCTCAACATAGTGGCATGTTCTTGTTTTCACAACTATGAACTAACTATGCTCCAGGCAGTCTTTCTGAATGGGGGATTTGTTTTTCATTATGTGTCTGAGCATATTCATTAATTTGTTGTGAAAGAAAGCACAGAGTAGGCAAATTATTGTCATGGCATTTCCCATCTTAACTACTCCTGTACCCACGTGACATATCACATGGAACCAAACTCTTAGTAGGATGCCAGTTTAGTGGATATTAGTTTCCAGTTATTGCACTGGAAACATAACGTTATTATGGGACTTATACTTTAATTGGCTTTTAAAATTTGTAACATTACTAATATCATAAAAACTCATCAATTAAAGAACCTAAAATTGTGATCCAGATCTGCTGACCTTATTTGCCTATTGGTCATCAAGATTTAAGTGGCCATGGTGATGGCTCAGGTCATGTAAGAACAGATAAGAGGCAACACTGGTATAAGATTGACCACAAGGGACATTTCTGGGTGCAAGTGCTCCTCTTGGTCTCCTCAGTGGGTAATCGTGGGACCTGAAAATTTCAAACCTCACACTGAGAGTCCACTGGGGAGGAGACAAGATGTGAGATGAAGAGATATTTATAGGAAGAGAAGTTCCAAAAATGATAATTAATAAAAGCCAGTTAATCAATCTGTGAGTGATCAGCAAGATCTGTCCTCAGATAACTGAT